TGGCAGGTCAGGGGCCTCCCAGGGTTTGCCAGGAGGCCAGGGGTAGGAGGAGCGTGCTGGGCAGCCACGTGTCACCTCCGCAGGGTGGCGAGGTAACGGGCTCTGGGGCCACCGAGGAGCAGCCCTGGGGCTGCTCCACGATGTACAGATGGGGCAGGGGGTCCCAGCCTGGTGCCCTCACCGACAGCATGTTTTTGGAGATGATGACGGTGATGTTGTAGAGGATGAGGCAGTCCCAGAGCGCGAGGCGAGCCCGCACCGGCTTACGCAGTCCACGATGTACAGATGGGGCAGGGGGTCCCAGCCTGGTGCCCTCACCGACAGCATGTTTTTGGAGATGATGACGGTGATGTTGTAGAGGATGAGGCAGTCCCAGAGCGCGAGGCGAGCCCGCACCGGCTTACGCAGGGGCGGCCCCGCACCGGCTTACGCAGCATGGCGGTGCCAAAGAGCAGGAGGTAGAAGCAGGCGAGCAGGTAGCCGAGGCCGAAGAGGCTGATGCGGGTGGCACCAGTGATGAACACCACAACCAGGACGAACCAGAAGAGGTAGCGGAAGACCACCACCTTCACCATGTCCAGGTACGACCTGCAGGCCGGGAGGCTCAGAGCAGGGTCCCCATCCCCTCCCAGCACCCACATGGCTTTCGGGGCAGAAACGGGGCTGCCAAGCAGGGAAGGGGCAACTGGAGGGCTTGGCACTACCTGGGTTTGGGGTGCAGCAAGGTGCTACCCGCCCCCAACCAAACCAGCAGGACGCAAGTGTACGTGTCAGCCCTATCTGGGGGTCTCAGAATCTGCTGGGGGGAGGGACCTAGCGCCCCTGGGGGTCCCAGTGCTCATCTCAACGTGGGGGTCCTGGAGTACAAAACCACAGGGTCCCAGCCCAGCCTTGAGGAGGTCCTGCCCAACCCAGGGGGTACTGTCTTTGTCCCACGCATCCCACGGGGTCTTGTCCCAGGCATGAGGGTCTGCGCCCAGCCCAGCCCAGCTCTGGAGGATCCTGACACATGAGGAGTGCTGTCCCTGGCCTAGAGGTGCTGCATTGCTGGGGGGCCCATCTCCATCCTTGGTGGGAAGCCAATACCTGGGAGTCCCGTCCTGTCCCTGTCCCCTCCCAGGCCAAGGGGCCTGTCAGTGCTGGGGTGTCCCATCCACTTGCTAAGGGGGTCCCATCCCAGCAGGTCCCAGGGGCCCAGTTGTGGGCATCCCGCGCCAGGTCGAGGCAGTCCGCGTTCTCGCCGGCGGCCTGCAGCCACTCCTCGGTACGCTCGGCCACGAACACCCGCCACTGCTGAGCCGCGCACAGCAGCAGCACGAAGTCATCTGCAGGCACAAGGCTCAGCCCCTGCATGGCCCCACCCCCAAGAGGCGGGGCTCAGACAAGCCCCGCCCCCTCGCTGTCATGGGGTGGGACCAGAAATAAGCCCCACCCCGAGGGGCAGGGCTATTCCCAGGCTCCTCCTCCACAGGGATGGGGCTCCACCCTCAAGGATGGGGCCTTCACCAAGCTCCTCCCCCAGGGTAGGACCTCCACCAGGCCCCTCCCCTATGGGGGCAGAGCTCTTTCCAGGTCCCACCTCCTCAGGGCCTGGGTCCCCCACTAAGCTCCACCTCCAAGGGGGCAGGGCTCTCTGCAGGCTTCTCCTACCCAAAAGGGGTGGGGCCCACCCCGACTCCACCCCGACTCCACCCCGACTCCACCCCTCCTGGCTGTCCTGGCAGGAGCCACCTCCCCTCTGCTCACCCCGCTTGGGGGGCAGGGGGGGACCCCCCCAGGGCCATGCCTTGGGCCCGGGTGCCCCGTGGGGGACAGGGGTGTCAGGAAAGAGACAGGGACCGGGATGGGGCACCGGGTACTCACTGATGAGGTTGGTGGACTTGGGTGCCATGTAGAAGTCGGGCAGGTAGAGCCACTTGACCAGCGCCGAGTTGATGGGGAGGGAAGGGCTCCACCGCCAGGGATAGTCTGGGGAGCCAGCAGCCTCAGTGGCCCGCTTACCCCCCTGTCCCCGTGCATGGTCCCCATGTCCCTCACCCATGTCCTCTTGCCCATGCCCCTTTCCCATACAAGAGGGTGGGTTGCATGCCCACGCATAGTCCCCCGTGTGCCCTTGCCCATGCACCCTACCCATGCCCAGCGTGGGTGGCCTGCCCCTAGAGACCCCCATCGGCACCCCTCGCCCGAGCCCCCTTACCCATACAGAGGGCAGGCGGCATGCCCACGCACAGCAAGTACTGGTAGAGGAGGAAGATCACGAGGAAGAGGCAGTACTTGGGCCAGAGGCGGGAGGGGGGGCGTGAGGATGACGATGAGCCAGCAGCCGTGCAGGATCACCATGAAGTTCATCCGCTGCCCAATCACATTTACCGTCATGAGGAAGCAGATCTGGAGGCGGAGGAAAGCAGTGGCTCAGATGCCCACCTTGGGGTGCTAGGAGCAGCGGTGCCCCCCAGGTGGCCAGCACTGCCCGCTCCTCACCTCCAAGCCAAACTTGTAGTAGAAGTAGTTGAGGAAGTATTTGGCACAGCTGATGAGGCCATGGTCAAGGTGTTCTCGGGACACGTCCTCGAAGATGGTCTCAGTGACAGGGGCCACCAGCTGGAACTGCTTGCGGTAATACTCCTGGCGCCGGTACACCACAGCCTCAAACACCAGCAGCAGCAGCACCAGGAGATGGTTCTGGGCAGGCAAGAGACGCTCAGGGCCTCGGGCTGGTGCTGAGCGTCTGTCCCCCGCAGTCCCAGCTCGATGCCCAGGCCCGCAGCACATGGGGGTCTCCACAGAGCGTGCATGCATGGGTGGTCTTGCCTTCCCCCTCACCCACCTGGATGTAGCCCAGGTTGGGGAAGCCCTTGCGGATGCCGAACCAGTTGGCAGGGTCCACGGGACCCCGGTATAGCGTGGAGTTGCCCATCTCCTCTGGGCTCAGGTTGGTGGCATTGTGCTGGGGCTGCAAGAGGAGCGCGAGCTGGATGTCAGCACCCTGGGCAGACCTGCCGGCAGCCAGATCCCACCCAGAGCTGGGCAGCTCCGGGCAGACCCGTGCCTCTGCAAGAGCCCGGGCATCTGGCATCCACAGCTTGGCAGCATGCGGCCGTGGCGCCTCGCTCACTCCCTGGGCACCTGGGTGCAGTTACTGGAGTACTCGCTGGGGTCAACAATCTTGAGCTGGTAGAGCATCTTGCAGACGATGATGATGCAGGTCCAGACGGTGGAGAGGCAGGAGGCCATGTGGCGGAAGCGGCAGTAGGGCACAGCAAAGGCCCACAGCAGCACCAGCAAGAAGTTCATCAGCGAGACCTGGGGAAGCAGCAGCGTCACGGCCCGGCCACCACCACCGGCAGAGGTGCCGATGCCCTCCGGGGCACATCCTGGCAGGTGCCCCTACCTCCTGCAGGGCCACCCAGACGGTGTAGAGAGCCACAAGTTTGAGGATGTGGAGCTCGAGCAGGCGTCCCACGAAGACCTGTGCGCGGGTCAGCGTGTCCGAGAAGGTCCAGCCCAGCACGATGAGGCGCTCCAGCACCAGCCCCCATTTGGTGGGCACTGCGGGGACACCGCCCGTCACCACCCCACCCCTGCACTCTCCCTGCCCTGTCTCTGCTCAGAGGACACCCTGTCCCACCTCACGTCCCCCCTGCCCCCTCCTG